GCGAGGCGGGAGCGGCTCGGAGGAGCCGGTGGCGAAGATGGCGGCGGGCCCGCTGAGGTGAAATCCAGCCTCGCCGCCCTTCCTCCGAGGGCCTGCGGCGGCAGGGAGAGCAGAGAAAGCCCCTCCACACACCCTGCCCCGGAGCCGCCTCCAGGGCCCATCCACCAATCGGACACTGCCTGACCCACCGCCCAGGTTGACACAGATGCGAACAGCAGAAAGATCCAGAAATGGCGACTGTCCTTGAGGAGAAAAACGCAGCGTGGACTGTGTGTGTGTGTTGACCAGCATTACGGTTCTGGTGCAAGAGGGGTACAGCTGGGTAACAGCACTGTCTGTGCCCCAAGGCCCGAGCTGTGAAACCCCCCCAATGCCTCCCACCACAAAACAAACACTACCTGTATTCCCTGCAACAGGATATATCACCCTTTGGGGAGGCACAGAATGCAAACCTTTCCCCTTACAAAAATCAAACCCACCATCTCTATTTTTTAAGTTAACCCGAGAACAGACCTCATACGTGACCATGGATGAACAATTCAACCAACATTCTTGCTTGTTACTGGGACATATGGCTTTAACAACCACATCTGGTTGAAATTTCCCTATGATGTCTTATATGAGCTGTTTATTATAGCAGTAGGCATTTTTTCTTTATTGGAATGAAATAAGAAATTCGCTTTCAGGGTAATAAAAGTTTTCCCCGCTGTTTGCAGGAAACAGCTGAGAGATCCAACATAATTCTCTACTAAGTAGGAAATATTTTGATGATTCTCACTCAACGATAGTGTATTAGGACAACATATTGAATTATTAGGACAAAACTGAATCGTTATTTTTGGACTGATTTCAATAGGAGCAGACACAAAGGCAAACTGGCCTCCACGATACGCAAACTCAGTCCACATTAAAACCCAAATAATACAGGTATCACAAGTGACACAAAAGTTCATGTTGAGTTCTCAGATTATTGAACTGTTGGTGGTAGTTTTGCAAAACACACTCCTCTGTGAAACTGTAGCCTGTTCTACGAGTTCTATTCCAGCAGGTGTAAAGAGCAGGATGCCTGCTACCCGCTGCAGTTCAAGTTAGCCTTCTTTTATCCGTATCTGTCACACGTGAAGGTAGGGCACTCTTCAGTTTGTTCATCGTATACAAATGAATAAACAATGGACTTCATTTTAGGCTGTGAAATATTGGTACAGGGAACTAGAAACCACAAACTTACGGCACACAAACATTTCTTCATGTTTCACTGACAAAAGCAGTAAAGTACTCAATAATGGAGTTCTAAGAGTGGAAGCTCTTGTTAAATTTTTCAGATAAGGAAGTCTTAAGTCTCTGGGCTTAATCTATTCAAACTGTAACAAAATGCTAGCCTTTGAAAGTTCATATTGTTGTTCAACAGTAGGAAGTGACAAACAGAGATTTCTTTCTTGGTGGAAGATGTTAAAAAAAAAAGGTAGTTCTGAGTCACAGGTGTCTGTTTTGACAGCTGCCTTTAAGAACCTAATAAAAAATATATAATGCATGGGTCAATGGGAATTTCCATGATACCTTTTAATAATTTATTCCCTACCTCTGGAATAGTTTGGTGCTAGACTTTTTTGATGCATTGCCAAAATACTTTAACTGCAAATCAGTAAATGTGTGAATTCATTTTTAAAAATAATTTATTTTTGCATGGTTGTTGAAACACAGTGACGCAGTCAATAATGCTGCAATGGTTCAACATAATCTTGAGAGAATTTACAACTGCAAACATTTTCCAATAGGAGGTGTACCAATCAGTTAACGAGAACATTAGACCTTCCATCTGAGAACAATTTGTCAAAATACTGCTTGCAGGGAACAGAGCGAGCCACGGCTAATGCACCGTGAGCTGCTAATAAGATTTTTATTCTTGCATTTTATTTCTAAGTGATAAACACTCTACCCTGGATCTCTGCCTTTCCCTCCACGTTTCCCTGTGGTGACCACAACCACAACACACCAGTTTCTCCATGGGCATGGGCATGTGGACTGTTGAACAGTATCTGGTATCAAAGGATGTTGAAAAATGCTATACAACTTTTAGTATTTCTTACAATAACATTATTATAAAACGCTTTCCTAAAGCACAGACATACTTTCACATAATTATTAATATACACACAATTAATTTATTTATACTTTTATACAGCAATCTCGTGTGGCCATTACAGTTGTTCTTAGCTGGTTTAATTCCTTAGACTGCAGGGGAAAGAGCTCAGGATGAGATTGCAAGACAC